TTTTTATTTGTTTGAAAAAAAAAACAAAAAAAAAAACAAAAAAAAAGTAATCCGCTAACAACGAGTACTTTCTAACTTTCACATGAACTACTGCAGTTGAGGGAGACTCAGCAGTCCTTATCTGAAGGAAGAGCTGCGATACTGTACTGGCAGCCACCCACAGGTCTTCATTCACAGCTGATTTCTGTGCTGTCTGCAACCCAGCGACTGGCCACATCAATCCAAGGGCCGACCAGAAGGGAAATAATACATCCCCACCCTCAGGGCTAACTCAGCACAGCAGCATTGTGTCAGCTAGTCTCACACTTCCTAACAACATCTAGAGCTCCCAGGGTTCAACTTCCTGTAAAGCCTTCTGGAAAACAGAGAAATATAGGAGTGGTGTTAAACCAACATCCTCCAGAATGGTGAGAAAAGGGAGAGAACTGGGTTCACTATATTAGTGCGTTCTATTCCAAGTCAGAAAATAGATTTCTGTGAAGAAAAAATTAGGTGAGAAGGGCTTCTGTGAGAAGAAAATTGAAGTCATTATTTACCAATAATAATAACCAATATTTACCAATTTTGCTGTCGTTGTTTGTAAAATTTGGCAAAATTTTTGTAGTAATAATAATAATAATAATAATTATTATTATTATATTTAGCAATATACTATTGCTAAAGTGACTAAAAATAAGAAATATCACTATTATAATATTTCACTGTAAAAAAAAACCTGAGTATAAGAAATAATAATATTATAATCATTTTATTTTACAACTGTACATTTACAATACTAATGATAATTACGTTCATCTTAATTTTCAAATGTTAAACCATCAAACTTTATTTTGACAGAAAACCACAGGGAGCCATATCATAATTTAGTTTTTTTATTTCGATTAATCAATCATGCATCCTTTAAAAGATCATATCTGTGTATAATATTTCATCTGAATTAGTTTATATGGTTGACTTTTGCATTTGTGTACTTCGGTTGCTCCTGAATTTTTTCATAACTTTACAATAAATTTCATTACCCAAGTTATTGAAGAATCATGATTTGTTGGTAAAAATGTATGATTTAACTTTGCATGTACACACAGTTTATGAATGAATCATGCTCCTGAGAGATCTTTTTTAATGACTCACAAAACCATTCTGAATAACTTTTGAATAAACTTTTTCTGAATACATTTTTGATCTGAGTTCACCTCAAGTTTTAGGACTTTAATGGTGCTTTTTCATTTTTGGAGCGAGTCAAAACAAGCAGACGCAGTAATAACATTCCCAGATGAGATCTTACAAGCCTTATGAACTTTAAAAAGCATAACTCATCCAAAAACTAAATTGGACACCACTAACACTCTTAACATGTCACATTCAGTTGTAAGACACACCAAGAGCTGCTTGGTGTCATGATATCAAAACTGACATGGCAAGTTTGAATATGCTCATGCATGAAGAGTATTTGAGAGCTACAGCGGAAACGAAGATTTTCAGTGAAAAACAACATGCATTTCAGTCTGTTCCTCACTCAAAAGATATCGGACAACTTTGAATATAGCAGTTCTTACAACTCATGCACTATTTTATTTGAAACAATATGGGGGGTGAGAGTAAATTAAGACAGAATTTTATGTTTGGGTGAATTATCCTTTAATTTTTGTATTTTAAGATAATTAAAAAAAACAAGTTCATTTAAGGATTCGGAAGCGATATGGTCCACTCTGGAACATTATCAGTCTGTAGCATTCAAGGTTCTGGGAAGTTCAACAAGATACGCATCATATGACCCCTTTAACTAGTAACTTTTGGTATTAATCTTTTGTTTTTATATTAGACTATAAATAATCTTTTGTTTTTATATTAATAATAACCCTAACTTTTATTCAAGTTTTAAAAAACAGAGTATAACTGAACACATTACCAGTATTTATCTGGCACAAAAACAACAGGGGATCTCAATTAGGGTGACGGCATTAAAACATTATCGGCTACTAACAAGTCGACAACCAACATGGGCTTTTTAATGACCAGTTATATCAATAGCGAAGAGTGGTCAATAAATTATGATATAATGCCAACATAGAATTTAACGTCAGCAAATGGGACACGCAGAAAATTACTTCAATACCAATATTTACCAAAAACGCAAGTTTTTATCTAATGAAAAGAAATCCATACATTTTTAGGTTTGTAGATTCTTTTTGGGGACACTGTACACGCAATGAAAAAAGTCCAACTTTGTTATTAGATTTTTTTATAGTTTGTCCCATGTTTGTCCCAACTATGCAAAGACTGAAGTTAGAATGAAACTTAATGTATGGGATGTATGTCAAAACTGAATAAATCTTGTCTAGCAGGTAGGCAGCTGCCTAGGTTTTTCCAAGTCATAGCTGAGCGCAAGAAATGACTCCATTTTATGAAAAACAGCTTGCTTTTATAGCAGTTTTGAGTATATTTTTAAGAATAAGTTAAAGGCCCCAAGTGCATGTGCGTGCTCTGTCATTCTTTGGTCATTTTTTTATTTCTTCAAACTAACCAAAACAGGGTGAGGCTCTTACTTTGCAGTTGAACTCATTATAAACAAGCACGCTATGTACTTGACCTGGTGTCTTAATAAGAGACATTGCACCATCAAACACGTAAAAACATGTTTGCAAACTCATACAGGCGTTGACTGATCTTACCTCGTCCTGTTTCTGAGAAATATCAGCTTGATTAGGGGGTGTGTGTACTGCTGAAGTCCCGTTTTGGTTATGGAAGTCACCCGTAATTTATGGTCCAAGATGTGCAGGTCCATCGTTTACTAGTCCACCAGGAAGACGCCGTGAAAATGTGTTCTGTGCAGTGCAGGTGGGCGCGTTAAATAACGCTACGCGAGAACCGCCTATGTGATGTTACATACCCCTGTGCTTCCAAAACGCTTCATCCTCGTGCATTGGGTACGCTGTTGAGAGAGACTCATTCGATTCGAGAATTAAAATGCTGTTTACAATGGGACTTACAGTTGGCTTCCTCCAGGGGGCGTTTGGAGCCGCTAAACTAATTATCATTATATAATATTAATTTGCATTATCTGTCTTATTTAAGATTTTTGTAGATTAAAAAGAGTTTTGAATCAATTATGTTCAAGAATTAACAATTATATATTAAAATAAATTGTTCTATGTAAAAAATATAAACAAAATCCATATGAAGTCATCACAAGTGATCGTGATAAGGCGAATCTGATCAGCGCTGAGTAAAGTAACAGACACCACGTGACAACGCCGTTTAATAGTTCGCTTCAGCAAATATTAAAGGAAGTCATTTACACCAGAAAATGGCACGGAGAAACTAACAAAAAGATTGATTTAATTCGGAGATTATTATTTAAATCCATCGAATCTGAAAACATTTGCGTCGCGAAGCCCCATCCACTTTGGAACAATCGTTTCACGCTTATTGCCATTCTACCAGTTCATTTGATTCTACTTGTATGGTTCGAACAGCAGACGGCCCAGTTCACACGCCCCCTTGCTTTTAAAGGGACAGGAGCATCTAAGATGAGTCGGTTTCACAAATATAACTTGCTTAAGAGGGCCATGAACTCTGTGAAAATATCTCTGTATTTAAATGAATTAAAATATTAATTAAAATAAGGCCTTATTTATATCAAAAAATCCAAATAATGTTTTTGGCATTTATGCAATATCATTACCATCAAATGAATGGGATAGTTCGCCCAAAAATTTAAATGACGTCATTAATTACTCACCCTCATGTCGTTCCAAACCTGTAAGACCTTCGTTCATCTTCAGAACACAAATTAACGTGATGAAATCTGAGAGCTCTCTGACCCTCCAAAGGTCCTACCACGATCAAGGCCGAGAAACGTAGTAGGGAAGGACATCTTTACAATAATTCATGTTACATCAGTGGTTCTCATCTGTAATTTTACCAAGCTACGAGAACACTGTTTGTGAGCGAAGAAAACTAAAATAATGACTTTATTCAACTATTTGTCTCCTCTGCGTCACCCTGGTGCCATTTTGGAGTATAACGATGCATGGGCATGCTATGATCTGAACGTAAACAACGTATGCGCTGTGCCTCGTTTACGTTCGGATCAAAGTACGCGCATACGTTGTTTATGTTAAGATCATAGCATGCGCATGCGTCGTGAATAAAGTCGTTATTTTTGTTTTCTTTGCACACAAAAAGTATTCCCGTAGCTTCGTAAAATAACGGTTGTTGTTTATGTTAAGATCATAGCATGCGCATGCGTCGTGAATAAAGTCGTTATTTTTGTTTTCTTTGCGCACAAAAAGTATTCCCGTAGCTTCGTAAAATAACGGTTGAACCCCTGATGTCACATGGACAATTTTAACGATGTCCTTACTACATTTCTGTGCCTTGATTGTGGTAGTTACCTTGCTGTCTATGGGAGGGTCAGAGAGCTCTCAGATTTCTTAAAAATATCTTAATTCGTGTTCAGAAGATGAACGAATGTCTTACAGGTTTGGAACGACACGAGGATGAGTAATTAATGACATAATTTTCATTTTTGGGTGAACTAATTAAGCAATTGTAAAGCATCGGCAACCAGCCACACTTGTAAGTATTTATGTACAGTGAAAATGGCCATGGTAACATCAAATATTATTAAATCACAATAATTTATTATGGTGTAATAATAGACAACAAATCAACAGAAATTATTTGTTCATTTATTATCCTATAATGGTGTTTTAAAGTTTACAACATTAAAATGAAGTCTTCCAATAAATGCATTCAATTTAGCAAATATATTTTTTAATTATAGATAAAAAGCTATGCTGACAGGCAGTTTCTTCAAGCATCCAACCGGCCAAGTGAAGCATTAGAAAGGAGAATAATGACTAAAAAAAATTATATATATATACTTTAACACGTACGATGACACTGAAGTCTGTCATTGTAGTTCTCAGATTGGCTTCAACACTGGCACAGTTTTGCCTTCTTGCAGACTTTAGGAGCAGTTCTACTCTAACACAACTGCCCGTCTACTTCAAGAGTACCTGAAGACCTTGATCATCTGCTTCAGATGTGTTTGAGTAAAGTCAGATCTAAACAGTAGATCTCCTGGTGGATAGTGTCTTAGGTATCATCACAGGTGAAACACTGTTGATTTTACTGCAGAGGTGAATGTTCCATGGGAATCATAATTCTCGATTCAATCTTTTGGATAAGAGGCACTGTCAAAAACAAAAATAAACAAGTTTGAATGTACTGAACAGTTCTACTGAAAACCACCAGATGGTGGCGTTCACAAAGAAAACACATGAATTGCTTACTATTTCAGCATTACTCTAGCATAATTGTGTGAAGTATGCACATTTTCTGTATGCAAGGAATACCCAGAATTCCCAAATTCCCCTTTTGACTCATTATTTGATCCGACCGCCACAAGTTAAGACATTTTTACAGAATTTAAAACAGCATTTTTTTATTATTTCAAAGATAAGTGGATGATTTGCTGAATTAAAATTGGCAATGAAGGATTTATGGATGCATATTAAAATATAATCTACTGTTCAAAAGTTTGACAGTATGTAAGAACATTTTTAGTAGTCTCTTATGCTCACCAAGGCTGAAAATACAATATAAACAGTAATATGTGTCACGTGACCCTTCAGAAATTATTACAGTATGCCGCTTTGCTGCTCAAGAATGTTATTATTATATGATGAAATTGAAAAGAGCAGCATATTATTTGAAATAGAATATATTTAACATATTCGAACATATTTGAAAACATTTGAATGGTAGTGTATAGGCTGCTTTAAAATGATATGTGCACATACTTTTTAAACAGACAGGCAGTATAGAGTATATTATGCAGTAATAATCAAAAACCCGCTATCTTTGTTCTTACTCACTTGTATAGTGCACATTGGCATCCCAGCCCTCTTTTAACCAAGCAGCATTTCTGGTCTCTTCTCTGGACTGCAGGTCTTTATAGGCTAAAACACATTACAAATATTCAGTACAACTGAGAGATTTTAAAGCACTTAATAATATGCAATGATCAGAAGAAGATATGTGCTCAGTGAAGGATGTTCTTACCCCATAAATGATGAACAACATACAATTCACCGATCTGTGTGAAGAAGCCGCCCACTGCTTCATTGTTTTCCTGTCTATATTTGATAGCTCGAGCCCTGGAACATGATAAAATAGATTAAATATGCAACATGGTGATATAACATCAGTATTTTTTCCTTAAGTTAAACTGTACAATTCACACACAAACTTACCAGTGATTTCCCCATTCGATCATTGTTCCAGGCTTGATTCAGAAATTTCAGGACAAACCATACAGGAAAAAAAGAGAAAAAAAGCTGAAAATTGACTCACCCTCAGGCTATCCAAGTTGCTAGTTTGTTTCTTCATCAGAACAGATTTGGAGAAATTTAATATCACATCACTTGCTCAACCAATGGATCCTCTGCAGTGAATGGGTGCCGTCAGAATGAGAGTCCAAACAAACAACTCCAGTCCATCAATTAATGTCTTGTTAAGCAAAAAGCTGCTCGTTTGTAAGAAACAAATCCACGATTAACATGTTTTTAACTTCATACTGTTCCTTCAAGCTAAAATACGAGTTGTCTATTCATAATAACTGATAACTCCAGTGAAAAAGTTGTTTCACCTCAATCAGGAGAGGAATGTTCATAGATCAAGCATTGCTTCTAAGCAAAAAAAAACTGTCCAAAACATTTTCAAACAAATGGATTTTGATGGGATAGGACAACAGGGGATGGACTTTTTCACTGAAGGAAGCATTATCATGGACTGTTTTATCAGCTGTTGAAACTCTCATTCTGACGGCACCCATTCGCTGCAAAGAATCCATTGATGGGCAAGTGATATAATGCTACATTTCTCCAAATGTGTTCCAATGACAAAAGACCTCATCTTAGATGGCCTGATGGTGAGTAAATTTTCCTTTAAGCTTTAAAATAAGACGGTGAATATTTCAAACAGAAAAATTAAATGGTATTTACTACTAGTTGGTATGTTCTCAGTTCATAAATGTTGGGGCCGCTTCTGGGCACAGGCTCGTTCCAGAAACTAAACTCCAGAAGAAGCTGGTTGCGTCGGGAGATCAACATTTTACTCCTCTCTTTTCGAAATGCAAGATACGCCTGCACAGAAAACATTTTGATAAAGGACACACAATACATAGATTCTAACATCCATACATCTAAATTTTAAGAGATGTGTTAAATACCGTATTGCGGTTGAGTTTGCTCAAACACTCTGTTAGAGCAGGATACCCACCAGAATACCTCCAGAGATGCACTACAAACACAAAACAGCACGTGTCACTACAAACAAACAACTCCAGTCCATCAATTAAAGACTTGTTAAGCAAAAAGCTGCTCGTTTGTAAGAAACAAATCCATTATTAACATGTTTTTAACGTCATACTGTTCCTTCCAGCTAAAATACGAGTTGTCTATTCATAATAACTGATAACTCCAGTGAAAAAGTTGTTTCACCTCAATCAGGAGAGGAATGTTCATAGATCAAGCATTGCTCCTAAGCAAAAACATTTTTTCAAACAAACAAATGGATTTTGATGGGATAGGACAACAGGGGATGGACTTTTTCACTGAAGGAAGCATTATCATGGACTGTTTTATCAGCTGTTGAAACTCTCATTCTGACGGCACCCATTCGCTGCAAAGAATCCATTGATGGGCAAGTGATATAATGCTACATTTCTCCAAATGTGTTCCAATGACAAAAGACCTCATCTTAGATGGCCTGATGGTGAGTAAATTTTCCTTTAAGCTTTAAAATAAGACGGTGAATATTTCAAACTGAAAAATTAAATGGTATTTACTACTAGTTGGTATGTTCTCAGTTCATAAATGTTGGGACCGCTTCTGGGCACAGGCTCGTTCCAGAAACTAAACTCCAGAAGAAGCTGGTTGCGGCGGGAGATCAACATTTTACTCCTCTCTTTTCGAAATGCAAGATACGCCTGCACAGAAAACATTTTGATAAAGGACACACAATACATAGAAAAATTAAATGGTATTTACTACTAGTTGGTATGTTCTCAGTTCATAAATGTTGGGGCCGCTTCTGGGCACAGGCTCGTTCCAGAAACTAAACTCCAGAAGAAGCTGGTTGCGTCGGGAGATCAACATTTTACTCCTCTCTTTTCGAAATGCAAGATACGCCTGCACAGAAAACATTTTGATAAAGGACACACAATACATAGATTCTAACATCCATACATCTAAATTTTAAGAGATGTGTTAAATACCGTATTGCGGTTGAGTTTGCTCAAACACTCTGTTAGAGCAGGATACCCACCAGAATACCTCCAGAGATGCACTACAAACACAAAACAGCACGTGTCACTATAGTACTACAGCTAACAGATATTTAAACAAACCAAATCTGGTGCTTTAAAAATTCAGTGATTTGTGTATGTAAACACTACTTTTCAAATGTTTGGGGTCAGTAAGTTTTTATATATGTATATATATATATATATATATACAGAGAGAGAGAGAGAGAGAGAGAGAGAGAGAAATTAATATTTCAGCAAAGACACATACGTTAATCGAAAGTGACAGTAAAGACATTTAGAATGTTACAAATGATTTTTGTTTCAAATAAATTCTGTTCTCCACAATAATATTTAGTAGGATAACTGAGCAGCATATCAGAATGATTTCTGAAGGATCATGTGACACTGAAGACTGGAGTAATGATGCTGAAAATTCAGCTTTGCATCCCAGAAATAAAATACGTCTTAAAATCAAATTCAAATAGAAAACCGTTATTTGAAATTGCAATAATATTTCACAACATTACTCTTTTTACTGTATTTTTCAGCAAATGAAAGCAACCTTATGTGAGCATAAGAGACTTTTTTTCAAAAACACTAAAAATATCAAATACAAAAATGATGTTGTTTTTCATCTCACCTGCTTGATCCTGTTCACCATACCAGGTGTTCCAGCTTCCAATGACTTCACATGGATAACTTGCATCACGATGAAGTTCTTTCTGTACCTCATCCCTTAAAATAGACAGTGGGAGTAATTTTGAAATATTTCTTAATTTAAACTAGGCTTGCCACGACAGACGGTGCTGACGGTGATACGTTTATCTAAGGTGATTTTAGAAGTTTTTTTAAACATTTGTTTCTTATTTAACTGGTTCCACATTGTTTGCTGATTTTTACTTTATTTAAACATTGTGTCATTTATTTATTTATTTTTACATCAAGGTGTATGCCGTGCCTCCAAGCTTTCTTACTCGTTTTGCTAATAAACGTTCTACGTTTCTTATTTATTTGGTTATATAGCCTATTATACATGCTTACTTAGCCTATTTCCAGTTTTGTATACCTATTTCAACTTTATGCAAGCTATTTGTTATTTTATATTAGGCATAGCCTGCCCTATAGCACGGTGTAGCCTATTTTTATTTGTTTTGTTAATAAAAGTTCTATGTTTTATATATATATATAGGCTAAAGTGAGTTTGACATTGTATTTTGTTGTTGCATTCAAGCAATTGACGCCGAACTGCCGCTAAATACCGCTATTTGAAAGTGAAAGTAAAATGCGCACGCAGCTTTTACAAGCTATTTAAAAGCAAAGGAAAGCGAGGAACGCCCCCGCCCCCACGGTGATACCGGTATTACCGGTGTTGTCACACGTCGATTAACCGGTGGGAAAATTTCCTCCCCGTCACAACCCTAATTTAAACTTGTTTTAAACTTAAACCACAAAAAAATCATATAGTCAATAGGCTAAGAAACATAAAATGGTTTAACATGCAGTTTGCACTCCTGTGTTGATCTATTTGATGTTGATCTAACAGGAAGTTGAGGCAGGACATGTCGGTACTATACTAATGATAATAAATCACGATCACATAGGACAATCAAGGAACCAAAGTACAACACATCTAGACATGGCAGGCCTGCAAGCGTCATACTGAAATCAAGACTGCACTTTATCAGCAATTGCAAAATCAAAAGGGTGCTTACGACATTTTATTGTATGCCTTCATGCACTCTGGCTTGACATTGTGAACTGAAAGAAAAAACAGGATTGGAAGATGTCAGGAAAGACAAATGGACCAGTATCTTGCAGTGTTAAAACCATTTTTTCTAGATGTTCTACTGTAGTTGAAGCAAACATTTTATCACTCAAATCAACCGTTTATTGAAATATCACCCTCATTTTTCTAAACCCAATTTTCATTACCATTCTCCATGCAGCTGGTCGCTTGAAAACAAAAGAATTCCACAAATAAACACTTTGCAGGCTGATTTATTAAAGCAATTAGTATCAAATAAACAGTTTAGGCTGTTTTCTGGAGGAAAACGACAAGCAAGCACATCATTCATGCATGCAGATATTTTTAGCAATTCCTATCAACTACATTGCAAATGCGCAAAAAACATTTGAGCGCATCCTTGAAGGTTTTAGATGGATTGGCTCACACTGAATCTTGTAGAGGTTGCTGGTTTCTTTCTTGGAGAGCAGATTGGAGTGGGCATCTTTCCTGGCATCCACTTTGTGTGCAAACATGGAACTCAACCAGCCTTCATCACTTTTATTCGCAGAACCTCTAAAGATTCACAAGCAAAACTGTTTCAGCAAGTGTTTAATAAATATATAAGTGATGCATCACAAGCTGCAACGCACTGTATTACAGAAAGCTTGTACGCACATGGGCAGTTGATGAGACATTTCAAGCAGTGACAGCAAAGGCCGGCAGTGTGACATGCTACATTTCCTCTTAAATAATTATTATGCATAGTTCTAATGGCTTAATATTAACTTTTATAGCTTAATAGCCCACCTCCCCCTGCAGTGCTATGGTGTTTAAAAATTGCTGCAAAATGAGATGAATATTGCTACATAACACTCCGTATTTTGGAAAAAAAAAAAACTACATTCTAATGATAATTGACATAGTTTGTGTGGAGAGCTTGCTGTAACTTGGGGACGAAATATATATATTTTTATATATGCCAACATTTCTTTACTAAAAATGTGCCCGCAGTTATTATTATTAGCTTTATTTATAGGCAATAGCAGTCCGTCTGTAAATTGCTATGGTTAAAAGTATCCGCTAAAATATAATAATACTAATTTTAAAACTTAAAATGTGTGGAGACCACTGATTAATAAATAAATAAAATAATAATTTTACACTAATTAGCTTGTAGGCCTAATTATTTTTTTGTTTTTGATACATTTGTTAAAATATAATAACAATAATAATAATCATCATCATCATAATGAATTTATAAAATTCATAGATTTATTATAATAGATTTATAAAAAACAAAATGTATTGCAAGTTAAAACTAAGTGCTCAAAGAAACAGAGACATTATTGGAATGTCAGAGGAAAAGGTTATTTCATGTGAAAAATCTAGCAATATTACCTGTGCATTGTGGGCGATAATATGAGGAACTGAATTTATGCACTTTAAAAATTACCTTGTCACACTACAGAACGCTTTTATGCAGCACATTAAGCCTGCACTTTACCTTATACATTCACATATATTTGAACATAAACCCCTGATTTTAAAAATCAAGATTCCGTCCATATTATTCATCAACTGCCTATTCTGAATAAATGACTGAATGGACTCTAGTTCTGCAATTTGACCAGCATTGCTGATTAACTTTACCTAGCAACTGTCTCGTGCTTCACGCACCTCTCAGTGACAAATGCACATTACCTGGCCAGCCATGTTGAATGCACCTTGTTAAAGAAATGCTGCTGTCTGTTGAGGATATGCAGAGACCGTGTTGTCGCCATTATTCTCTCGTGTTGTTTGTAGATTTGTGTCTATATGAAGTTGCAGGAGTTGCAACACGCATTTGTCTGAGTTAATGTTTGACACGCATGAACTGTTGGACTTCAGCTTCATTTGCGCCATTGATTCGTTCAAGTTTAGAAACTCATTAATCATGATGATTAATCTGTTGATATGGTCGCTGAAGTCCAATCAAAGAAAATTAACTTTTCAAACAAGGCTAGTTGACTACCCTTACCAAAAAGTAGCATACTTCAAGTTTATTTTATTAAGTATACTTAAGTAAAGTTCAAGAATATTTTTAAGTATACTTTATGTAGTAACTATACAAATATCAGTGTACTAGTAGTATACTTGTAAGTGTACTATTTCAATACTCCTTGGGACTAAATTGGCCCACTTTCTAGTATATAAATACTTTTAAGTATACTTTAAGTATAACAGTAGTAAACTTTAAGTACACAACTAGTTTACAACAATATTTTAGCTTGTACTGCAACTATACTAAAAGTGAACTTATATGAACACTGATAGTTTTCTAATTAAATACTTGTAGTCGCATTTTTAGTACACTTAAAATACTAAACTAGCTTAACACTTAAACTAGACAAGTATAGTCTTAGTAAACTACTAGTTTAGTAGTTTTATACTGCAAGTATACTCGTAAGTTTTCTTTAAGTGAACTTTACATCATACTTTAAGTATACTACTATGTCCCTGTTTAGGTATTAATTTGTATATACTGTATTTTGTTATATAAATATCTGAACATACAAAACACCAAAAGAAAGAACAGGGTATCTGCTTGTAAACAAAAACATTTTATTCTAGCTTCATGCATTCTTTTTTTAAAAACTTGAATGTGGGTAAGTTTCATAAATAAAAAAAATTTAAATAAATAAACAACATTTTGAACAAAAAGACTATGAATTGGATTCAGAACGATAATCAAAACCTAGATAGAATCGATCAACACCCCAAAGTTTGACAGTCATTATTACCTCTTCATTGGTCGACATTACATCAACTTTACACAGTTTTGATGCTGCTTTATGTCTGATGATCGTGTTAGAGAATACATGTGGAAGCATCTGTTGTTTCGGTTTCTTCTTCACTTGTGTTTTTTGGGAATTCTGTACAGAAGATGTGTACTAGTGCCCCCTACAGTATAACAATGAAAACACAGATTCTAGGAACACAATTATATTTAGAATTTTTCTAAGTAGGCTATAAGTCAAGTATACTTAAATGCCATTTTAAGTATATTTCTGAGAAGCACAGAAAGCCCATTTCTGAGAAGTACATAAAAAGTAGACTAAAAGTATACTTTCCTATTTTTTTGTTTAAAAGAAGTATACTAATAGCACGCTTGAATAAACTTCTTTTTCGTAAGGGTAGTTTTAGAGAGTTTTGGAGGGGAAAAAATGTGAATAATAATAATAATGAAAACGGACCAAATGCAACAGTCAACCACCTTTGTTGCCTAAAATACCATAGATTACCACAAATTAAAATGTCAGAATCTGAAAGCTACATATAGTAGCCAGCCGGGAAAAAAAAGAATAAATAAACATATCTTAAAAACCAGATGGTTTGCTGGTTTCTCAGCAGGGTGTATAAAAACCCCAAATTATGTTTTTAAGTGAAATAAATAAATACATGTCTTAATACTTTTATAGATTTCTATCTCAAATAAAGGCGTTTGAACTTTATCAAATGTAGATCATGGTTTCCACACAAAAATGAAGCAGCACACTGCCTAAAATACCATAGATTACCACAAATTAAAATGTCAGAATCTGAAAGCTACATATAGTAGCCAGCCGGGAAAAAAAAGAATAAATAAACATATCTTAAAAAACAGATGGTTTGCTGGTTTCTCAGCAGGGTGTGTAAATACATGTCTTAATACTTTTATAGATTTCTATCTCAAATAAAGGCGTTTGAACTTTATCAAATGTAGATCATGGTTTCCACACAAAAATGAAGCAGCACAACTGTATTCAACATTGATAATAATGTAGATTTTTTTAACAATTCTTTTAAATAATATTAGAATGATTTCTGAAGTAACATGTGGCACTGAAGACCGGAGTAGCCTAATGATGATGCTGAAAATTCAGCTTTGCATCACAGGAATAAATCACATTTTAAAATAGACTCAAATAGAAAACAGTTATTGTAAATTGTAATTATATTTCATAATATTTACTGAATTGGTGATCAAATAAATGCATTAGAGACTTCTTTTGAAAACATAAAAAAAAAATTGGACCTACCCCAAACTTTTAAACGGTAGTGTAGTATAAAGTAATTAGATCAAATCGGCTTGCTTCACACATCATCTCATCCACCCATTTTGTAAGTAATATTTTAAAGTCTATGGTCACTAATGTCATCAAATCTTTTTCTAAACATTATTCTACCGAACCGTTGTTCCCTTAACGCCGGAAACCATGATCCATCAACCATGACTTGATCCAATTTACCATGTGGAGGAGTGTGGAGCGAGATTCAAATCAGTTTAGAGTCTCGGTTTTATTCTGCAAGTTCAGAAATACATTTGCAGTTCTACAAGCCTACACGATTACAATTGGATTGTCCAGAATGTGTTCAGCTCAGCTCTTTTTAAGCACTGCATAAATTCTTCCACCATGTTTCACTTGGAGGTTTGGGAGTGTTTCTTTGGCGCTTTCGAATAAGTCTTCAAATTCTTGGTCGACGCAAATATCCTACGAGAAACTAAGGTTAGAGATATGCAAAACCAGTAAGGAAAAGGAAATATAAATGGGAAAGATTCACTCACAGAGAAGCTTGAACTGATTTTAAAATGGCGAAGCATCCCGCTGACTGCATTGGATTCCTAGACATCTGGATCATACGGAAAACCAACAAAATTAGTCATAACAAAGATAGAAATGCCATCAGTCTCTTGTGACGCAAACTTGAAAGTCTAAGTTTAAAAGCCATGCTTGCTTCAATAATTCCCTGCTGTTACTATTTTAATCTTTCGTACTTTGAGAACTCGTAGAGTCGTGTTCACTTTGAGGCCCAACGCGAAATGGATGGCTCCTTCGAGAGGTATGCGATTATTGCTGCAGACGAAGAAAAAAGTATTTTAAGCAAGTATTTGAGGTACTTTTATTCTAGCTGTCAGTTTAGCGACTGTTTGCAAAGTCTGGTGTTTGTGGATTTCACCACTGCAAATAAATCACGAATAACTGTGCATTGTGAACATTCAAACTAATTTAGCAGAGAAATGTTGATGTCGAATCTCATAATTACGGCAATAAATCAAGGACTGTGAACACGCAGAAAAGAATAGGTGAGGTGGTCCATTGACTCGTATAGGTGATGCATTTGCTTTCTATGAATGCATGCTTTCTATAAATACAATTACAGTATAAAATATAATCACAATGTGACAACAGTACCTGATGTTCAGATCCTCCAGTGTATTGTTGTGTTTGAGTGCTTCCTCTAGAGCCACGGCTCCTTCTTTGCCCAGGCCGTTGAACGACAAATCCAGGGTCCGCAAGAAGATATTTCCCTTCAAAATCAAATCCAACAGAATGACTACTGTAACATATGTGCAGAATTTAAGTGCTTCAGAATATATTTTTAAAAGGGACATATTACTTATTTATTTATTTTTTCCCACACTGAGGCCCACTTATAATTAGTTTGCATCAGGATTTATTTTAAATAAATATAATACTTTTATTATTTCTTTATTTTTAATTTTTTGCATCCCTTTTTGACCCTTTGAATTGTGCAACTTGACAGGGAGAAAGTTTAGAGTTCTTAAAGTTACAGTTAAACTAACTATTTTATCTCAAAAGATGAAGTACATTTTGATTCCTCATGATAAGACCCCTTTTACTTTGTAGGATGCTGGACCAAACAGCATTTTGCTATATCAATAGTCCTGATCAATGGATGTTAGGCCAAAGTAAGTTCTTACATGAGTGAGTGACTCTGGCAGAGGATGGACTTTATTTTCCTCTTACCTCCAGGCCTTTAGCAAATGCAATGGCTCCTTTTCCTCGAATGCAGTTCCAAGCCAGATTGAGTGACTTCATTCCCGTGTTCTCGGCAATAGCAGTGCCCATGCAGGATTTCCCCTGAGGGAAGGAGAAAGATGGAGAAGAGCAACATGGGGGAGTTACTGTTATTAATTCAGTGTATTATTGTGTCTCCCACGTACAATTTAATTTCTGTATGATCTAACTGGATATTAACTAGTAAATTAGGGCAAAAATATGATGGTCCCTGTGTGAGCAACTCTCTTTCTACACATAATATAATATAATCAGGAAAAAAAATTATCAAAATAATCTGGGGAAATTTTCTATTTATTTTTTGTGATGAATCTCATCATTTCTGACCAGTCTTTATAAAGCAATGATGTTCTTGATCTAAAACCAGTTGAGAGCCACAGATTTAGATGAAACTTTTATCCAAAGCAACTTGAAGTACTTATTATTAGAAAGACAATCCCTCTGGAGTAACCTGAGGTGAAATGTCTTGCTCAAGTATGCAATGGTGATAATTCATATTTTACTCCTCGAGGGGATTAAACCTGCAAACGTCCAGTTCTGAGCTTTAGTTAGTGTCCTACCATGTCTACCAACCTTAAAATATAAATGTACACTTATTTGTCATGGCAATAATCTTGAGAAACCTTGGAGATGTACACTACTATTTAAAAGAAATATACTTTTATTCAGCAAGGATGCATTAAATTGATAAAAAGTCAAATATATATATATAATTAACTTTGTATTCATCAAATAATTCTGTTTTCAAAACTGTTTTTAACATTGATAACAATAAGAAATATTTAGCAAATCAGCATATTAGAATGATTTCTGAAAGATCATGTGACACTGAAGACTGGAGTAATGATGTTGAAAATTCAGCTTTGCATCACAGGAATAAATTATATCTTAATACATATAAAAAAACACTTATTTTAAGTTGTGAAAACATTTCACAATATTACTGTTTTTACAGTAATTTTGATCAAATAAATGCAGCCATGGGTGAGCATAAGAGACCTCTTTGAAAATTATCGAATATCTTTCCGACCCCAAACTTTTGAACGGTGGTGTATCATGCATACTAAATAGCATTTCCTGAAACTGTTACCATTTTCAGAGCTCTTAAATAAATAAAAACTCAATGAATATCATATTTGATATACATAACTGTATCAGGCCTTATTGACTGCATTTGCAATGGTCACCAGGGTAGCCTGCCAAGAATAAGCAAACAGTGCATGATTATAAAAAGAAAGTCATCACCATATGTAATATGAACAGAGATGTGCCAGCGGAATCTGTTAAGGATGTATGAATCATGGCAGGTCATGGAGGAGTTCCTCTTGATGATTATATGCAATATTTTATTGAGGTAATTTCCCTATCTTCACACTCTGTCATTCATGCTGACAGCTATGGGGCTTTAGGACTGTATTCTATATCCCTCATCATCATATTGGAGTTTCTGATCATTTGAGATCCAGCCCTCTGGATATAGCAAATATGAAGATATTGTGCTTGTGTTTAAGCGGAAATATCATTTCCAATTTGCATTGCAGTTAAGAAGAGAGCACTAAGCTATAAAAAAACTACATTATTTGGAAGAATTGCATTTCCATACATTCCCACAGAAAGATATGAATAATCTCTGAGATGTGTTTGAAAACAGCGGATTTGAAGGTTTTTATAAGCAGGCTTCACCACACTGACCCATTTATCAAAGTATTAAAAATAACATTGTAGTTAAAGGTTTGTTTAAAAGCAAATTTATCACCTCTCATTAGACATACTACACTGGACCAATATCTGTGTCCACATAACCTCATCAATACACCTCAAGCAACTTTTCATTGACAGCAGAAATAGAAATATGTTCACATTAACTTATGTTACACTGGATATTAAACAACAGTTCCGGTCTTTGGGTTTGTTTAACTAATGGCGCTTTTCCACTGCGTGGTAGTGTTGGGTCGTTCTTGAATGATTCGTTCATTTTGAACAAACCTTTAATGTGACTTGGGAAGAACGAGTCGTCTCGGGGAGTGATTCGTTCAGTCGCTCATGCGCGACATCCTATAGGTTCTGTACTGGAATTAGTCAAGTAGTTCACCTGTTTCGAGTCTTCGGTTTTCCGAGTCGTTCGTTCATCACGTGACAGCCCCATAAGCTTAACCTATGCAGTCTGAGCCGGAACACGTAACATTTTAATTATATTTTGCTAAAATGAACGAAATGACTCGAAAAAAGATTAGTTAATTTTGCTGGACGAGACTCAAAGGTCCGAGTTGGTAAAATTATCCAAACTTCCCATCACTACTGTGTGGTACGACTTGGCTCGGCTCGCGTTTCCACTGCAGTTTAGTACTGCTTTAGAGTGAGTGGGATTACTCACATGTCGTAATAGTTATTACTGCCGTGACTCTTGAAAAACCTTTGATAGTCGCTCCTCGGCTATCAACGAGAGGAACGTCTGTACTTCCTCAACAGACAACGAAACAGACACGGAATGTGTCTCTGTAGTAGTTCAATGACTCAGGTAATGATGATTCTCTCCGGCCAATCAGTGATCAGCAGAGTTTACAGTCACGTTTTGGTAACGGTACGGTTCGCTTGGAACCTCAACTGAGGTGGTACTGAAAAAAGTACCAGGTACTGTACACAGTGGAAAACCCCCAAAAGTGAACTGTACCGAACCGAACCGTACCGTGCCGTACCATGCAGTGGAAAAGCGCCAATAACTCTTAAATAACGCTTTCTGCACGTTACATACGTAAGAGTAAGTAACTCTTTCTGCACGTTACATGCATACAGCATCTCTTCCAGCAGATGGCGACAACTAACTGTTTTTATGAGTGAGTCACTGAATGTTAACTGAACGTTCCAATTGTTCAAAATAATTGGATGCGACATGCACTTTTACAAGTAGTTTAAACTGAAATGTGTGTTGGCAGTGTGTGTACACAACCACTCTATATAATGATAAAGATCCACCCAGTGTTTTTTTTTATCTCGTTAAATAATTTCCCCTTTCTCATATCAAGCCATTCTCAGATGCCTGTCCCAGGCCCCTCCCACGATTGTTGATTGACACTAGCGTTTTACCTTAGACCCGCCCTGACTGAGCTGTCATCAGTTCGCCATTGTTTCGACACTGGAGCAGATGTAGACAAGAATGGCTCCTAAGCAATTGAGGTGTTCTCTTGTTGGATGTAATAATGAACATAGCAGTTGTCATTTACTCCCGACATCTGAGCCGCTGAAGACGCAGTGGATTACATTTGGTTTTGAAGAGAATGTGCCCACGATCTACCTAAATGCTTTTATGTTCACACGAATCATTCTTGATCCAGCCTCACCTACAGAAGAAGTGAGTATAAGGTTCTTTTATGAATCTTTGCAAATAATCGCCTTTCCAAATAATGTGCTAGTTGGCAAGTTCCGCGGCTAAATGCCGCTAAAGTAAACAGTGGCTGCGTCTGAAAGCTCTAAAATGCTGCCTTCGGAGGAAGCATTCCAAGGCAGGAAGGCATCAAGGCACGTCCGAATCCAAATTCTGCTTTACTTATAGTAATTCAATATTTGTTTAGTTATCACCAAAACTCGTTCTATTTTGTTGTAGATCATTAAACCGTTACGCTGCCTCAGAAGCCTGACCGAAATCAGTTTCATGAGGTGCCTTTGTGCAAAAACGCTGCCTGGAAAGTCAAGCAAGTCAGCTGCCTAGGCTTTCGGACGCAGCCAGTCTCATGAGAACGCCTCGTCACCCCACTGAAGAGAGGGGCGGGGTGAGCAGAGCTCATTAGCATTTAAAGGAACATGCACTAAAACGGCTTGCTGAAAACAGAGCTGATTTTGACAAGGTAAAAAGGGTGTTGATTTACACTACCATTGAGAAATTTTAACCAAAGTATGTTATAGACTTTTCATTAACATGGCACATACGTGTATTAAAACTGTGTTTTTAAAAGGCCAAACTCAGTAAACACATTATTAATAAAGCATATGTTCAGACAAGCAGAGTTCTTAATAAAAATGCAATGTGTTTAGTTACGCGTTAAGTGCTTTCCTCCCATAGAAAACCATTATAAGAAAAATGCTTAACGGGGCTTAATGTATTTGTTTCTTTGATGATTCTCATTAGGTTGGTTAATTGATGTGAAATACTGCCATTCTTTTACCCTTCTCTCTCTCTTCCTTACTTTCCTTCATTCTGTATATATGTGTTGTGCTTAGTTTAGTTATATGTTAGATATAGTTTCATTTATTAAATCCCTTATATTCACAACTTATTGTCTCTGTGCGCTGCTCACAATTCAAAGTCACTGAATGTTTGATCCCTTGCTACATGCTAAGTTAATGCTAAAACTGTATGCAGGAAAGTTATTCTTTCTTGGCCAGGAAAATAATCTTTCCTTGAATTGATAAATTATTATATTGTCTGCTCGGCGGACGGACAGATCAAATAATTGTAATATTGATTCTTCTACAGTTAATTCTAAGATCTAATCTAAATATTTATTATTCATCATAACCAGTTATAATTGGTCATAAATATTTCCCTTTTGAGCTGATTTACTACACACATCTGAATATTTGGGTTGAAGTGTTCTGGAACAGTGTTGTAACCACAATTTAACCACTGATTTCTAGTCGTGTCCTCTTTTGTAAGGCCAAACAAAGTAGTTTCGCTTTCACAATGAAACACACAGCATCACACACGGCGGGCTTGAGTGAGCGGTGGCCAGCGGCCTAGAGTGAGTGGAGGCTGGCGGGCTTGACAACGGCGCGGCCGGCGGATTCGACGAAGGAGCGGCCGGAGGGCTCGCGGCAACCACATGTGACGACCCCGGGCTGGACTCCGCTACGTCCACGGTGAAAGTCGATTCGGCGATCCACAGCATGAAGTTGATGTATTTCCTCAGCGACCAGCACGGATCAGTCCTCTTTTGGAAGGCCAAACAAAGTAGTTTTGCTTTCACAACAAATCACACAGTGTCTTCACGACATGGCGGCCGCGGCAACAACAATACTACAGAGAGAATAAAAGTTATGCCTTCTTTCTTTGCGTGAACATTTGGGTGGCGTTATTTAAATCTTCCCACTTCGTGATGTAGACATGTGGGGGCGTGTTAGAACGAGCCATTTTAGGTAGGCGTGGTTGACTTTTTTCTTTTTAAAACACTGTTTTAATGCATTAAGCCATGTTAAGCATTTTTCACATTAAGTGTTTTAGAATGTCCCCAGTGCAGCCAATTTCAGAATTGTGTCATCAAATCTAGTGACTTTCTCACTTTTGCTGCGGTGAATTTGTCCGCCATGTTTGTTCCGATAGGGTTCCGATTTCACAGCACATTTGGACCTAGTGATGTTACGTTTGAAGAGAAAAAAAGCCCCCCAGCACATTTCACATTAAAGCAATGTACCAGATCGATTATTTTTGAAAAAAGCACGTAATTTATGACGCCCGAAGCTTTGTTTGCTTCAAAATTACGTAACTGCTTATTTAGTATCTGATTCAATAGCAGCTAATCACGCCAGCGTTTTCCTTACTCTAATGCATTCTAATGTGTCTTTTGTTTTTTGTCAAGCTAGTTATGATTGCAATAGGCACATATAGACAGATAATAGATTTAATTTATGAATTTATGTTTCATTTAACATGGTGTACTGGCACTAAAATAAATGAAATAAAGTAGCTATAATAAATAAATATTAGCTATAGCTATTATTTCTCTAAAATAAAATAAAGAACAAGTTGCATAATCAAAAGTAAAACACATCACATTTTGCCCTGTTATTTTTTCAGTTTCATAAATTTAATAAAGCAATGAAGCTCTCCAATGGTTCCTGTCTAAGTACCCTGCCAGTTGAGAGTCACTGCATTGGGCAACTTATCTTTTGCTTCGTGAACTGAAACTAAATTATCCAAATTTGTGTCTAGACATTTTTATTATACTCTGTAGTGCTATAAAATAATCAGTATAATGAACTGCTCAAAGTAAGTGAAACGGACAGATTTTAATTTCATTCCCATTGTGCAATATGGCGTTAAAGGTTAATGTTCTTTTTGTTATGCATATGTTTGGTCAAATCTCAAGCTGTTTTTTTTCTAGTACTTGTCCTATTAAGTGGCCATGAAACTGTAGTCTTCCAGTCCAACTGTTACATGTTACCATTCAAGACGTGGCAGCCAAATGCCTCAAAAACCACTAAATGCCCCTCTGAAAGCAAAGTTATTCAGAGGTCGGCAGTAATCAAGCCATGAACCTTTCATCAGCAGCTTTTCACATCATCTCACACCTGCTATATCTCCGAATCTGTTGTGACTCAGGTCGAGGTGCTGAAGTTTCTGGTTGCTGATCAGAGCTGGGGACAGGTGTCTGGCCGCTCGCTCGTCCAGATGGTTCTCGGAGAGGTTGAGAGAGAATAGGGTAGAGTTTTCCAACAGCATGCTGGACAGAGCCCTGGCTCTGTATTCACCCATCCGGTTTTCAGACAAATCAATTTCTGGGAAGTAAAAACATAGGTTTTACAGTTCATACCTTCAGGGAGTGCTGCAAAACCAACCGTATCAACCACACCAAATCAACCAAAATGCACAGTGAATGATGGCTAAAATGTGCATTAAAACTGTGGACTGTGAAACTGTTGTATGTTGTTTTGAATTGGATAATATCTATTACATTTTCACCAGCAGACTCTAGACATTTGAACCTCATTGTATGTGCTCAGATATCACCATGTAGGACAACAACAATTAGATATGACAAACTTTGATGTAGGCTTGACAAAGCTGTTGTATGAAAGTTTAAAATAACGTTTGAAGTTTAAAGGTTTTACACAGAGAAGTCAGAGAAAGTCAATAAAATATTGCTAACATGATTTAGCACAGTGATATCGTGTAGCTAGCATGAAAACACATTGCTGGAATCACCATGTGATGTATCGTAATCTTCATAACAATAAACAGTCTGACTTGTGATGCAGCCTGGAATTAAACCACATCACGTTGGTTTGTCTGGCCAGAGGAGAACTGCCGACTGAGCCTGATTTCTTTCCAGTTTTTTTTCCCTCCATTTTTGTCACAGATCGAGTTTGGGTTCCTTCCCAAGTCGCCTTTGGCATGCTTAGTTGTGGACACTTAATATTTAGCAATATTATTGAATTGAGTGCAATAAAAGTGCAATTTTTTTATTGAAAAAAAAAACAATAAAAACCATCACAGAAATTATAATGGTTTCCACTACAAATACCATTACAAACAATTAAGCATTAAAACAATTAAAAAAAAAATCCTGTACCTTGTTTTGTGACATATTCCATTTAGTGGTTTTTATCAAGCCACCAATAGAATAGACCCACAAGTTTCCGTTAAAATCAATACAATAGGGTGCCATTTTCCCAGGACGCGTCCTGGCCAGGATTTCTATATTGCCTAAAATATCTAGGTTTTGGCTTTGTTTGCGTGTGCAGACCGATCGGTGTATGACATCAAGATACCATACAGACGGTTCCTTATGCTTTAAAAATGCTCTCGAGGTACTTAGATGTCATACACTGATCGATCTGAGCCGCGCTGCTTTTAAGTCGAACACACATCCTATGCACGCATAATTGCATCGCTTTGACCGTAGATCCCACCTTCTCACACACACACCATGATTGGTCCATTATGTACAATGCCTGCATGTTATTGGTCAAACTACTTTTCGATCATTACCTTCAGCAAGCATGAAAACGGGAAAAAAACAAAGCCAAAACAAATCCTGGCAAGGACGCGTCCTGGGTAAATGTTACGTATGGTAAACCTAATGTTGCTAGCATATATATATATATATATATATGTATATTTAAATTCCACATTCAACCATTCCAGAAATGCTGGTGTATCTGCCATCTTGGAACAGTCATCACTCACAGTAAAAATGCTTGTTTCTAGCATGTTGTAATGAATCATCCACTGAAGGCGAGCGTAAGTGAGAACCCAAGTGCAGTTTATTTACAGGTGATATCCAAACAAGAAACACAGACTTGACGTGAGTTCGTGAACGGCCTCCGTGGCAAGACAGTCTGTGAGTTCGTGACCGTCCTCCGTGGCTGTAACAGGGCAGACAGTGAGTTTGTGAACGGCCTCTGTGGCCGTGACAGGGCAGACAGTGAATTCGGAAGCGGACGCCACCAACTCAGGAGGTTCTGCAGCGGATGCCGCCACCTCTGGAGGTTCTGCAGCGGATTCAGGCACAGGAGAGGCCCTTGGTGCAGACTCGTGCAATCAGTCTTTTGAGTCTTGGCCCAAGCCGTGGCGGCCATCTTGGCCGGGGGCTCAGCCGTGGCGGCCATCTTGGCCTGGGACTCAGCCGTGGCGGCCATCTTGTGAGCAAGCTCTGGCTTGGCAGACGTGACGTGAGCAGGCCCTGGGGTAGCAGACATGACGGTAGCAGCCTCTGGCTTGGCAGACCTGAAGTGTCCTTAAGGAACGTTTCATTAAAATCTACCTGGTGATAAAGTCCACAAAAATCCTCCACATAATCCTCAATGGAGTGATTACCTTGACGGAGGCGAACTAGGCGATCTGCTGGGTTCATTGTAGAGGTCGTGTATTCTGTCAAAATATCAAAATAGGTCTAACTCGAGAGCATTTTGAAAGCATAAGGAACCGTCTGTATGGTATTTTGATGTCATACACCGATCGGTCTGCACACGCAAACAAAGCCAAAACCTAGATATTTTAGGCAATATAGAAATCCTGGCCAGGACGCGTCCTGGGAAAATGGCACGTATGGTCACCCTAGTTTCTAGCATGAATTAACATTGCATAGACATTTTCAACCCACCAAAGGAAGTCTCTGGGAATTTGGGCCTGTTTGGAAACCTGATATGGAAATCAGTATGTTGGCTTAGTTATGCCACCATAAAACATCTTGCAAGATATTGCTTTCTAAAAGATTCCAGACTTGTCCAACCCCCATGTTCCTCTATAAAAAAACATGACAAGACTGTCTCACAGATTAGATCAAACAGACTTTCGGACTACTAGTGAATCACAAATAAAAGTCCAGAAAACAAGGCAGTACTGTGATGTTGTGTGTGGAACTGCAAGAAGTCACCTGTGATGTAGCAATTCTCTTTGAGCATATCAGCAATGGAAGCCCCGCCTATTCCCTCCATCCAATTATCTCGCAGATTGAGCTTCAGGATGGAGGTGTTGGTTACTAAGGAAATGGCCAGAGCGTTGGTACCCTACAGAGGAAAGTTTTTAAGATGTTTATCATATCTTTTGTTATTCGTATAGAATGCAGCAGTCAGGCTCTGGGAGTAAACATGGACCTACAAGACCTACTGTGAGCTATAAGGTTGTTAATTGATGGTATATGCTTTTGTTGTAGCCATCAGTCCATATTATTCCAACTTATTATTAAATAATAAAAACTTGAACTGCTCAAAGTAAATGAAACGGACAGATTTTAATTTCATTCCCATTGTGCAATACGGCGATAAAGGTTAATGTTCTTTTTGTTATGCATGTGTTGGGTCAAATCTCAAGCTGTTTTTTTCTAGTACTTGCCCTACTAAGTGAGCAATCATGATACTATGTTAATTTCTCAATATATACAGACAAACTCAAAATACTAAAACCATAAAATCTGTAATCCTATAATATTCTGGTGACTGTTCTTGTCCTGTGACTGTAGCCCCTTTCAATTTACTTTCCATCTGAATTAATATTAATAATAATTATTATTTATAACGCACCTTTTTCATACTAAAATGCAAGAAATCTTAATATAAATGCAAAAGAATAAATTTAATAATAATAATAATAATACAAAAATACACAACAAAGAACGAAAACATTGAATAACTGCTTACAAAAGCAATAAAACATCTCAAGGAGGAACCATTCATGTCTGCAGCACAAACTGTATGAGACAAGTTACGCACTAAAATTTAAAATACAAGGTTAGAGGTTTACTATTATCATTATGACTTATGAGTGAAAAAAATAGTGATGCTTTCCTTAGCAAGCACAGTTAATCAATGCAGTAAAAGACAACACAATGTGCCGTACTCACACATGCAACCTTTACAGCTTAAATGAGATGAACTGGTGTGACTTTATAAACCAAATAAGACAACAATGTGTCATTGTTTCTCATTGAGATGCGCAATTATCATGAATGTGGAAAATTCCCAAGCCATTCATTAAGCTATGCGGAGGCACACAGCAGTAATCTAGCAGATGGCTATCTCTAATAAACTGAATAAACAGCCATCAGAGAGATAGTGAGAGATGGATGGAGCCGTGATTTATGTATATGTAAAGGAGTGTGTAGGTGTTTCGGTATCTGCAGAACAAGCAGGTGAAAATGAAAGAGAGAAAGAGAGAGAGACCTGTCTGAAATTACAAGCATGACTCATGGCCGTTTGCCTATTTTATTCCCCTTTGAGTGGCAACATCATATTCTGTGCCCCTTAGCTCTTTGACACCCTCTATCAGAACGTGCATCACCTACACCCCCCCATCGGCCCACTCTCTCTCTCTCTCTCTGCTCATATTCCCACTTTCACTTTTAATAAGAACTCTCACTGTGAAATCTGTCAAGTTCCAGGTCTGTGTCAAAATCTTCGTCACTGATGACACACTCTTCCTCCTGCTGCTGTCCATCACCTGGATGGATACCTCCACCTTCATCCACCTCGTCTTCTTCAATCATATGATCTTCATCCTGGTGGGCCATTCTTGTGCTTTGATGCTGGCTGGGCGATCTAGACACTCTCTGAGCGGAGCAACGCGGAGGATACTCTCAGAAATGAGAATTCATCAGTTCACCAGAGTTTTGCCAAATTAACCATTTAATCCCACCGGTCACAATAGTGAGTGTGAAAAAGTTTTTTTTTTATAAAGCTCTAAAAACCTTACTGACTGATGTTTTAGTGCACTTCCTGCAAATGTGTCAAAAAAGGGTCTCAATTAAATATATGCAGTTTCACATGGTAAGTGCAAATTGTCACATGACCAGAGCAGTTTACTTCCTGTTTGCACCATGAGAAGATGATGGCTGCATCAAAACTCCAAAACTAAAGTATGTTAACATAAAGATATTACAAAGATTTTTGAGACACATTATCTTTGAGGTGTCTAGTATTAATATATGAATTCACATATATTCACTTTTGTTGAGTGTGATCATAGAATGAGTAAACATGTTGATGATCACAATAGTGACCGGTGAGATAACAGTGAACTTAGGTTTACAATATAAATCCAATTGCAGTTGTTAGTGAAGGCTGCACTAAAATGTTGCAATGACAAAATATTGCACTAAATTAAAAGTTCAAATGTTACAAATAAGTTACAATATTAATGTTGTAATACTGGTAGCACTAATATAAAAATGTGATGATATGTTACAAAAAAGTAACAATTCTGAAATATGTTGATGGTTGCATTTTTTGTCTTTTATCTCAGTATTCCTGTCAGTGTTGTATAAGTTTTTTTTTTTTAAGCATAATAGTAACCCTAGAATGTGATCATACAGTTTGAAATAGCTGGGCTAAGATACTGTATATAAAAAAAATTATGACTGCAGAAATATGTTAATTCAGTATACACATTATCCCACCGGTCACAAAAATAAAAATTTTCACACACTTTTCCAAAAAAAAAAAAATTATTATTGATTATTTCAAAGGGTTACTAATGACACATCATTTGGATATTTTTATGTCTGGAAAAAAATTGCGATTAAACGGGTTAAGAACTGAAGAATTGGCTCCTTTTTAATTTCTGATTGTGAACAGGCTATCCATCCATCCATCCATCCATCTCTATCTATCTATCTATCTATCTATCTATCTATCTATCTATCTATCTATCTATCTATCTATCTATCTATCTATCTATCTATCTATCTATCTATCGTTGTCTCTCCATCCATCTATCTATCTATCTATCTATCTATCTATCTATCTATCTATCTATCTATGTCTATCCATCCATCCATCCATCTATCTATCTATCTATCTATCTATCTATCTATCTATCTATCTATCTATCTATCTATCTATCTATCTATCTATCTATCTATCTATCTATCTATCTATCGTTGTCTCTCCATCCATCTATCTATCTATCTATCTATCGTTGTCCATCCATCCATCCATCCATCCATCTATCCATCTATCTATCTATCAGCTCCAAAACCTTCAAACTTCAAAGGCTTTTTAAACATCTTTGAAAACTTTCAAACTAAAATTTGTCAAGCCAACATTCCATGGCTGTTTTGGCAAACTCTGCTTCTCTAGTTAAAAATTACACTTCCATGAATTTCACACAATCTTACCATTCACAAGCCATTTTACTTACAATATGACATATTTCCAAGTGAAACATACTGTGAAGCACAAAAACCATAGGGAAGGACTTGCTTTTATTTATCAGAAATTTATTGGATTTTGTAAACTGGTCACATACCAGAATTAAGCCAGATGGTTTGTGGTGAGGGGTTGCAACGTTACTGTATGTGCCCACTGGTGCTGAGATGAGTGGGCATTTACAATTCATTCTCTATGGGAGCTGAGCGACAGGCTCATGCGGGGGATTGACAGTGGAGCGAAGCAAGCAGTGAGAGCATCAAAAAGTTGAGAAAGCCTAAACTTTATATAATGACATGCAAAAATAAATAAATAAATAAATGTAAAAAAGACAGATCGGGAGCCAATCACATTTCAATAATTTGATCAAAATGCAATGCTAGAGCAGGTGTTTCTGGTGGATTTTTAAAATGTTTTTTAAAAGAAGAGTTTTGGGGTCACCAAGGCTGTGTTTATTTTGTTAAAATACAATAAAGACTCTAATATTGAAAATATTATTACAATTTAAAATTATTACAAGTTTTCTGTTTGAGAATATTTTAAAGCATCAGCATCTTTACTCCAGTCTTCAGTGTCACACGATCCTTCAAAAATCATTATAATATGCTGATTTGCACAACAAACATTTCTTATTATCAATTTTGAAAACAGTCATGCTGCTTAATATATTTGTGGAAACCAGTTTTTCCAATGTTTTTTTTATAAATAGAATGAACAGCATTTATGTTAAATAGAAATGTTTTGATCAGTTTAGTACATCCTTGCTATATTAAACATTAAAAAAAGATTCCTGGGTCTGCTGACTGGCCTGCTTGCGATTCCTCCCAAATCCTCTTCTTTTCCACCTTCATCTCCGTCATCTTCACACACTGATGGAAGAATACTCTCTTTTGTCACCTTTTTGCCCACTACCATTCTATATACCTTGTGAGTTTGTGATTGTTTGCAAAATTAATGTTGAGAATGCTTTGATCAAACTAAATCACATTCGATTCACTCTGGTTTCCCGAGCCAGACAGGATCGATATCCTTAAAATCAAATCTATGAGAAAGCAAATCAGTGCAGTCATGTCTCCTGTTGGCCCAGACTAACCTGCTCTGAGGGAAGGTTGTATTTGACCGACAGTCACTTTGACTAATTGCAGAGCCTGATCAGTGAGGGTGGGCTATTGTTCAGATCATTTATTTTGTTGACTGGTTGCCATGGTGTAATTTCTCCTCTCATAAAGCTGCACTCAATCTGTTTCTGCAGTGAGCGGTGAGAGAGAGAAACAATTATATAAAACAAAGAACATACATCTTCTTCCCTCACTACACAATCAGTTGCTCTCTATAAAACCTTATAAAAATCTATATTTAAAGTAAGTCTAAAATCACACACACACACACACACACACACATATACATATATATACAGTGGGTACGGAAAATATTCAGACCCCCTTAAATTTTTCACTCTTTGTTATATTGCAGCCATTTGCTAAAATCATTTAAGTTAATTTTTTTTCCTCATTAATGTACACACAGCACCCCATATTGACAGAAAAACACAGAATTGTTGACATTTATGCAGATTTATTAAAAAAGACACTGTATATATATATATATATATATATATATACAGTATATAGTAATTTTATGGCAATATCATATTCATATTTTTAGATTTAATTTATTTTATATATTTTTTTAAATATAAAAGTAAAATTACCAGATGCTCTCTACACATAAATTGTATGCATGCATGTGTGTGTGTGTGTGTATGTATATATATATACACACACACACACACACACACACACCAACATACATACATATACTTATTTTGTAATGTAATGGCAATATTACATTTATATTCATATTTAAATATTTTTTATATTTTAAACACACACACACACACACACACACATAAAATATGTATTTTGTATATTATTTCTTAAATATTTCATAATAATTACCACTTACTTTCATTTACAGCATATTCTTTATATCATTTATTGTTAATCTAATATGTATGAAATATAAGTATATTTAATATTTATTTTGCAGAGTTGTAGCACATTTGATATTTAAAATTTTTTTTTAAATAAATAATAAGATGATGTCTGATACTCTTGCATGGAAACAGTCTCTACATTGCTTCTGTTTCTCCATGAAAATTCAATAGGAAACCAAACTGACATTTCAATGAAACACACCATCATCTCCTGAGCCATGAAAGTGCAACCTCTGACCTCAAATTTTCCATTCACATATCCTTTCATGCATTACAAATGTCTTAAATAAACTTCACAGTGCATATATTTTTTTAATTTCCTCACTTAGAAAGAATGGCAAAGAACTTCAAGTCTTGACATACAAATGTTTTTATTATTAAGTAGATGCAAAGTTCTTGCAGTATATGCATTGAAATGGCAAATGTTTCAATGTTCGAAGTTCCACAATAGAAGATTCACAGCAGAAATTGATCGGAACAGTTTCTCTTAGCAGCAGCAAAGAACAAACACAAAAAGAGAAAAGAAAACCCCGTAAATCTTCTTCTCCGTCCAGTCACAGAGGAAGGATGCGATCACAACAGTTAAACAGACACAGTGCAGGTTAAGAGAAAACAGAACGGTAACATCATGCATTCAGAATAATGCTTCAGGTTCCCCCAAATTAATTAGATATCATTACAAGCAACTCAGAGGGACAAAATCAAATCAATACCCATAATCAAAATACATTCTTAAAAAATTCTCATCCATATTTTATATATATATATATATATATATATATATATTTAGATATTTACTGATTTTAACATATGCATGTGTGTGATTCTTTTTTTGCCCGACTTTTTGTCATCACAGAGTTTAAACGGTGCAAAACCCAAATGTGGGGAGGGAAACATTCAGTGTTAACTGTGTACATACAACAAGAATACTCTCCTACAGAAAGACAACAGAAAGCAAAGTCCCTCAAAATCAAATTACCTCATGTAATATTTTTCATGCCGGAGGCCACTCATAACTCAAAAGTTTTCAAAGCAAATCCGAAGCGAGCTAGGATCTGACTGAACGCACATTTCAGAAAGCAAAACAGTGACTTTTCTTAAAGGATTCATTGCCAGAAAATGGTCCTTTCAAAGCCATCAAACAGGCATTGCATGCAAAACTGAACTATGCGCCGCATTGATTTTTTGCTCGTTGTTGCAAGCGGTTACCCTTTAATACAAAACAACAACTACTACTACGGTTGATCCTCCATCTAAAGCAGAGATCCAGGTCTCCGTTTGGAGTCAAAGAGAAGGGTCGTCACAGCCATGTCTCAGAGAAACAGGGAAAACGGGATATAGAGGACGTATAGTAAAGCAAAGCAGGTG